CTAAGATTATTTTATTTCTTAAAAGTGAGATTGAATCTCTTTTAAAACAAAATGAGGTCTTAGTTAAAGAGAATGCTTTCTTAAATGTTGAGATTGTATCTTTGAAAAATGAAAAATTTAATGATGTTTTGAAGAAGGAAAATGAGGATTTAATGAGAACCCCAAAGAGAATAATGAGACCCACAGCACGATAAGGGATTTTGAAACTCCAAGACAACCAAATCAAGTTTATGATAGGACCTTGACTCATTGTTTATGCTGCAACAACTAGAGGTAAAGACCTTACCCATTGCTTATGATGCAACAAGAACCAGAGGTATAGAGCTAGTTGATGCCACACCCTCAAACTGTTAAGAACGAGAATGATAAGTCAAGTTAGAACACCACAAGAATAATCTTGATAAGTTTTGTAAAGTTTAGAAATAAAATGAAGAGAAAAAGTCCCTCAAAAACTTACATTTAATAGCTTCCCCCTTAATTAGGGTTACAAGCCCTTTAAATAAGGAAAACTAATCATAATTAGAATAGGAAACTAACACCCTAAGTCCTAAACCTAATAACCACGAATTGAGCTTCAAATAAATGAATGTTCAACCCAAAAATAATACAAAATATGTAAAAATCACTCAAAATAATCTAAAATAACATGAAATATCAGATTATTGCGAATTGCAATAGAATTGTGTATTTTGACACAAACTATGTAATTCAATGTAAACAACCTCAATTAAGCTTCTCTTTAACCTAAATGATGTTTACCATGCCTTGATAATCATCCAAGCTTCCATTTACTTGTTGCATGTTGTTTTCAACCCAGATCTACTTAATAAGGTCATTTAAAGCTTCTCGCATATTCTCAGCTCTAGCTCTTGTGACTGGTCCTCCTGGGATGTGTAATGGATCCCTTAACATGGTACATGTGCTATCATCTTAGATCCCATCAAGATTTGAAAAATAAAGTTGGTGAGCTAGAGAAAATGATTTCTAAATTTACTTTGGGTAAAGAAAAACTTGATTCTATTTTAAATTCTCAAAGAAGTGTTTTTGATAAAGGAGGTATTAGATTTGATTATTCTAAAAGGCAAAATAACTTTAAAAACTTTGTAAAAGTTGGTAAATCCTCAAATCTCAAATTAACTTGTTATTATTGTGGAGTAAAAAGGCATTTGCAAATGTGCGTCCTTTGGAGAAAATACTTGCTCAGGGTAAAGTGAGTCAAATTTGGGTTCCAAAAGGAACTTTGGGCACTAACCCCCATAGAATCAAGCAAATTTGGGTGCCTAAAAACAAAAATTGATTCCTGTTGTGTAGGTGTACCTAGTGAGCAAGATGAAGAGCACATGGTATCTAGATAATGAATGCTTAAGGCACATGACAAGTGACCCTTTACAATTCTAATCACTTATGAATTTGAATGAAGGAATCTGATGGGAATCAAGACAACAACATATCTACTACGTCATGTGATCCATTACACAGCCAAGGAGGTCCAGTCACGCGAGCTAGGGCTAAGAA